TGGAAACAACCCAAGTACCCATCAACAAACGAATGGATAGAGAAGCTGTGGTATATTCACACAATGGAATACTATGCTGCATTGAAAGACAAGGAACTCATACAATATAATTCAAAATGGGTGACCCTGGAGGACATTATGCTGAGTGAAATATCTCAGTCACAAAAGGACAAATACTGTATGGTGCCACTGTTGTAGAATAAGACTGACATCAGGGTGGGGGTAAGACTGAGAAAAACTGGATAAATTATGTATACTGTATTGAAGCCGATGAGAGAGAGAGCAGTTTAAAAGCAATATATTTTAGGGCATTATGATTATCATAAGAGTTTGGAATGAGGATTGCAGAGTGGAGTATACTTGGGGTGGGGGTGTAGGGGGATAGTATACCAATGAAGGAGTTTTTCTTTTGCTTTTCAAGGAGAAGAGCGAACTGGAGAAAAGTGTAACAATGAATGAATGGAAATCCAAAATCTCTGTAAATGTTCATTAAAATTAATAAGCCCCCGCCCCCCCAAAAAACCCCAAAAACTGAGCAGATAGTTTCTGTAATGATGGTGGATGAATTACAGAAAGGATTAGCATGCCAGTTTCTAAGGCTCCTGTCTGTTCTTATATCAAACAGTAACCCTAATATGCAACATACAAGTTCCTCCTCTTGCTACTAAAGAGCACAGCCAACCTACCTTGATTGCTCTTCTAGCTGCATTTTGCAGATTGCCGCGAGCTGAGCCATTTTACTTGGGAAAGGTGCTGAATTCTGAGAATCCTCTGCTGGTAAAATAGAAAGTGGCAAACAAAGTCAAGAACAAAAGTTTACTCAGGTAACACCTCACCGAAGGCAAAGGAACAGATAACATCTACCACCCTCAGATTACACAGCAATGGAATGATGCCAACCAAACCAACTGTTCCTCTGGTGATAGAGTGGTGAGCATAACCATCTTCTAAACATGCTGCCATCAAGCCATTTCTGATTCATAGCTGTAATATAAGGCTAAGTACAAATGCCCCATATGGTTTCTGAGGCTGTAGACTGCCCTTTTTTTTCCTTCTTCCTTGGAGCGGCTGGTGGATCCAAACCACTGACCTTTTGATTAATAGCCTAATGCTTTAATTAATCACAGTGCAAACCAAAACAAACACAAGCTACTGCTGTAGGGTCAGCTTCAACTCTTGGTGACCTCTGAGTCAATTTCAACGTATGGTTGGTTACACACCTCTTCAGGATTGTGAGGCTATAGATCTTAACAGGAGATTGTCTCATTTTCCTCCTGCAGAATGCCTGGTAAATCTGAAGTGCTGATTCTTGGGTTAACAGCTCCATATGCAACCAGCAATGCCACCTGGTCTCCTTACAGCTCCACCAGAGTTTTTAAATGATACTCAGTAACTTATTGTCCTCAAGTCATAACCAACTCTTTGCTGACCCTCCAGCGGGTTTTCTGGGACTGAATCACACAGGAGAAGATGGTCCATCTTTCTCCCCCAGGGTTTTTATCCTTTCATTAATAAACAAGTTAGGCTTCAAGTGTGGATTTGAAGCCATTTTGACTTAATTCTTTTAAAAAAGTACTGTGGAGATAAAGTGAGCTAAACATTAGATTAAAAGGTGAGTGCTGCCTGACTTTATTTGAAAACATACCTTTATTGGTCTTGATGGGGCTGCTGGGAGCAGAATTTATCTTTCTCCGGTCACTTTCTATACTCTTTACAAGCTTGATAAGAGATGGGTGTCGAGTGAAATTCGGTTTCCCACGTGTAGAGAAGAGGTTTTTGGCACAATTCTCCTTTGAGAACCGTCTCATCTCCAAATCCGAGGGCTCCAAAGGAACGGCCATGCTGGGTCCTGAAACAGAAAAGGGCACTGTGTTAAAGAACACAGGGGTTGGCGACTTACTGGAGTCACTGAGACTGGGAGGGACCACGGACACTACTGTGCTGAGATAATCTTTAAGCCAAGAACTGAAATGATCCCTTGAAGTCACAAGTTAGCTCAAAGAATGTTTGCTTTGAGGGAATACTTTAAGCACTATGCTGATGATACCTCTCATTCTGGAATGATCTGTTTATCTCTGACCCTCTATGTCTCTAGGGTCTCTTTTAGGAAAAAAAAATGCCTTGAGCAATGTTGTTGCTGTTGTTGTTATGTGCCATCTAGTCACTTGTGACTCATAGCGACCCTATGTACAACAGCCCTAAACTCTGCTCTGTCCTGTGCCAATCGCACTGTCTCTGACACTCCCATCCCAATTATCCCAGTCACTGAATCAATCCATCTCATAGAGGGCCTTCCTCTCCTGCGCTGTCCCTCCACCCTCCCAAGCATGATGTCCTTCTCTAAGGACTGGTCTCTCCTCACAACATGTCCAAAGTATGTCAGACGGAGCCTCAGAATCCTTGCCTCCAAGGAGCCACCCAGTTTAACCCTTTCCAGGACAAATCTGTTTTCCTAGCAGTCCATGGTATTCTCAATACTCTTCTCCAGCACCACAGCTCAAAGGCATCAATTCTCCTTCTATCCTCCTTGGTCATTGTCCAACTCTGATGCATAACAAGTGATTGCAAAGGAATTATCTATCTTCTAAAGAATTATCTACATGAGATCAAACTGACAAGAGTAACAGAGATTCCAGAGCAGAGTCCAAGTTAATGGTGGTGAAAACAATCCAGACAGATAGATAGTGATACAACACAAAGATGTATTACATGTCATTGAAGCATAATTGTAAAAAATATTGAAAGGAAGTACATTTTGTTACGTATACTGTTGTCCCTCTATATCAAGGGACTGGTTCCAGGCACCCTCTGGATAAGAAAATGCTCAGATGCCCAAGTTCCTCACATAAAATAGTATAATATGTGTATGTAACTATTACATGTTCTCCTACATACTTAAAGTCATCTTTAGATTACTTATAATTCAGAAAATAATACAAAATGCTATGTAAATATCACTTGCCATATCCTCTTAGCTTTTGGGGATTGATCACTCAACTGCCTTTTAAAAGTCATTTTTTTCACAGAAGGGTGTACACAAATAGGAAAGCAGACTTGAGGTGAAGAATTCTAAACAAGGAGATGTGTTACTTCATTCTTGTGGATTCCCTGTAATCCTGTTGTTGTTAGGTGCCTGAGACTCATAGCATACAGTCCTCAGTACAGGAAATTCAGCTTTCTTGTTTAGCCCTGCCCTCGATAATTTCAATCTGAAGGTGGCTGACTCTAGAGAAATACAGCTTGAAAATATGGAGGGTCAATAATATTTTGTACAAAAAAACCAGCACAGGTGGTTTGGCTCATCTGATATATAAAGTGTCATTCTAAGGATGTTTTTACAAATGATGAAACAGAGAGCAGGGACTATGTGCCTCATTTCTGCTACTATGTTATTTGCAGTGAATGAATGCTGAGGTCCAGCACTTCCCACTTTACCAGCAGTGGTGTACTGTTTCTGCTGTTAAGTCAATTATGTTTCACAATGACCCTGTGAACAACAGATCTGAACCTTGCCCTATTTGCCATGCTCAAGGCTATTGTGTCACTGTCAATCCATGACAGCGAAGGTCTCTCTTTGGTCGATCTCCCTTCCCCAGCATGTTGTCTCTCTCCAAAGCCTAGTTCCTCTGGGAAATTTGCCGATGAGGTTTCACCATCCTTGCCTCTAATTAGCACTCTGTATTATTAAGAGATTTTTTTCCTCCCTTTTCTACTGCCCTGCAATCAAAACTCACTCCCAGCTGACCCTCCACTGGGTTTCTGGAAGCTGTAAATCACATAGGAGGAGACAGCCCAGCTTTTCCCCATGGGGCTGCTGGTGGGTTGAGACCACCAGAGATTCAGCCTGTGGGTTAGCAGCACGACTCCCTAGGACCATGCCACCCCAGCTACTGTTTTCTTCGTGAGAGAGAAAAAAATTGTGCATCTTATATTCAGTAGAGTCTTAGGTCTAATATGGCGACTCTCACATCAACTCTAGGAGGTGTGCATGTTTCATGAACTATGTTTCTATCTCAGGCACTAACCAACTGACTCAACTTCTCTCAGTGATTGGGAGGTGCACTGGTGATGCAAACCTGTGCCCCACAGTGTATTCTAAAGCCCCACATCCATTTGTCTCTTCCTGAGATTATATCCAGAAATCACAGTAATTCCACAAAGCAGCCTTCATTTTTTCCACTTTACCAGTGAGGAAATGAAATTCTGAAGAAGTAACTTGCCCAAGCCCACACAGCGAATAAGCAGCAGAATTAGGAATAGAGGTCAATACTGCCTCTTCTTCCATAACCGTGGTCTTGCCACTGGCCAGGGAATTTTCCAAGGAAATGCAAATCAAAAGGTCATCACTGAGATGGGGATGAAGGGCCACTGGTGACCTGAAGTGTTTCAGAGTAGAGCAGTACTCCAAGCTCTGATCCTTTAAAAGGGGGTTCCCAGGCCTTTCTTCTGGGGTGCCTCCAGATGAATTTAAACTGCTACCCTTTAGTTAACAGCCCAGTGTTTGTCTGTTGGTGCCACTTGTTGTTAGTTTGCATATGCTGAGTTGGAACCAAGTCATAGCTGAGCCTCTTGGGCTGCTGTTGGCGCCAGAAGTTGAGCCTTTTATCCTGACCGTCACCTTTGCCTTTGCCACTATAAATGCATGCCCTTCCCATGTGAGGGAAGAGAGAACATCTCAGTGTTTCACAACAACGATAAAGTAAGAAAAGAAGATACATACCACTGGGATTCGGACTGATTTCTGGGCCTGTCCATTTAAAAGCTGGTTTTCGGCCTCTCTCCTCTGTTATATGCACTTTCTTGATAAGATCCAAGCTACTCAGAACATTCGCTATGTCATACAGCCTCCTTATTTTTGCTTGAAAAGAAAAGCATATATGTCACTTGATAAAACCGTGAAAGATTAAAGGATTCTGCTTCGTAAATACGTCAGAGACAGTCATCCTAACCATCAGGATTAGAATAAGAAAAAAACATAAGTCCTTTTGCAGTTACTCTAGTAAGACTGCTTTAATTAAAACAAAAATAGATTGTGAAATATTTAAAAGCCTCAGTTACCACTGGTACTGAATTCTGAAATGACAAAAGCACACATGGAAATAGTTTTTAAAAAATGACATTATGAGATCACCTTATTGGAAACTGGGATACAAGATTTGGTTTTTTAATGAAAGCTTCATCTTTAATGAAGATGTCTTCATAAGAATGTTCTGAGCAAACAGAGAAACTAACAGTGATAAATGTGCTTCCCTGTTTGTGATCATTTATAACAATAAAATTTATTTCATTAAGTATGACCACTGCTTCAGCCCATCCAATGTATGAATTTTAAACTGTCCTTATAATAATAAAATTTATTTCATAAGTATAACAACTGCCCTTATTATGTGATATGTAAAGACTCATTCACTCACTCATTGCCCTTGAGTCAGAGTGACTCACAGCTGACCCTCTGGTGGGTTCTCTGAGGCTGTGAACCACACAAGAGGCGGCTGTGTACTCAGAACACCAGGTGACCGCGTAGTGACTACTCTGAAGTCGGGAGTGCAGCTCCCTACCCACTGTGCCACCAGATCTCCTTTTGTAGAGAGGAGATTTGCTAATTTTAGAAATCTTAAAAAGTTCCATTTTAAAAAGTCTGCTTGTATGTGTATCTTAACAGTAGGTTACACACTAAGTCCCTTCTTAATAGCCAAGTCAGACAGTTCTGAATTGCCTTCCGCCAACTGCCTCTGGTTCCCAAAATCTGTTTCCAAGGCTGTGACTAATTAGTGAGATGAGGAGTTGAAACCTGTCTGATGGACTCAAGAAAAGCAGGCTGTCCATCAATAGGATCAGGACCTGTTTTCTGAAACTGCAGTTCTCCCAAACCAATTGTTCAAATTAGCGCCTTCACTCTACTTTGCTCTTCAGAGCAACACCATCAACCTGGGCATTTTGGAATACACTCTGAGACTCTTTCCCTCACTGCTGCCAGATTTCCAAGGCTATAAATCACATGGGAGGAAATTTCCCATCTTCCTCCCAAAGAGCAGCTGGCAGGGAACTGAGACCTTTGGATTAGCAATGCAACTCTCTATGGACTACACCATCAGAGCTCCCACTCTGGCACAAGTACAGCTTTATATGTGGATGGGAAGAAGTCTGTATGTAACAGCTCCCAGGCACACCCCACAGCCTCTGAGACTGCTTGGGCTGGTTCTCCGTAATCACGCAGCTAGGTCCTCCTCACTTCTTCCTGAAGCAATAAGTGGCTGCTGGCCAAGTGGTACTTCTCTGACGTTTGCTGATATTCCCAGTAGAAATGGGTATGTGGTAGAAGGAAGCAGCTCTCCATCAGTCAAGCCCCTCTTTCTTCCCTGCAATCTTTATTTATATCCTTTCAGCTCCTGGAGGTCTCTGCAACGTCTAGGACGAGGTGAGGGCACAGCCCTGCCTTAAGAACCCAGACCAGCTTCCAAGCCAGTATTTAGCAGACATTCTGGCAAAACCTGTTCTTTCAAAGCAGCAAACCGATAGTACTTCAAGTCATTTCAGGAGACAGTTTTTGAAAAGTGGTTTACACTCTTGTACACTAGAGTCAGTAGAAATAGTGATGTGCTGGGTTCTACCTGAGCTTTATAACCAGGGCTTTGAAGCAGTGCTGTCAGAATGGCACCGCTGGTCACCATTTCTATCTAATCTAGGCATTGCTGCCTGTTTTCCACCTAGCTCAAAATTCCATAGAGACCGGATTGCTATGTAATGCTTTCTCTACCCTTCAGCAAGTCACTGCAGGGTAAGTGAACAGGTCTGAAGCTCTCGTTACAACTTCTGACCATGTTAACTCAGTATATTTCACACTCTGCAGCAGGCACAATGTCAAATGAGGTAAATTTTAAGGAACTGTTCATGGTGGCGTAGTCTGTAGGGAATTGCACTGCTAACCGAATACAGCACTATTTGGTGGTCTGAATCCACCAGCAGCAATGTGGGGGAAAGATGGGAAATTTCCTCCCAGGCGATTCACAGTCTTCAGGAACCTGCTGGGGGATCAGCTATGAGTTGGTTCTGATGGAAGGCAAGGAGTTATGAGTGAATATATCAGACAAGTTAGGGTTTTCATAAGAATCTTTGAATTCTGTAAGTCAGTCAGTGGAGTATTATCATCATTTGAGGAAAAAAGGAACAAGATAAAAGAGTAATTAGAGATGACCTGTTTATGTACCAAATATATTTAGAAATCCGTTTATAACTAAGAATCAGCTGCTCAAGATCAGGTCCAAAAGGGCAACCATCCAGGGCGATCCACAGCACTTACTTTTAAATTTGCTTTTATCCAAATCTTCCACATGGTCTTCCCCAATTAAAATCTTGGCAGCAATTTCTAGGCTTACTATCTGAGGCGTTGACACCAAAAACAGCATCACAAATTTCTGGCTCATCACTCTTAAAGACTTGTCTTTGCGGCTGTTTACAGAAGCTTTGGAGAAAGATAGGAGGATTAGAGAATTAAAATTCATGAAGGGACAAGTGCCTTCTAAAGTAACAAAGCTAAAAATACCACCACCTGATCACACAGCCTTAACAACTGCAGCATCTTAACAGGAAAGACAGCCACAGCTTGGGAGCAGGGATCTCTGCGAAGCTTGTCTTTAGATCTAAGAGAAGTGCACGCCGCCTGGGTTTCCCAATACCGCACTCACCTGCCCGAAATTCCACTCCCGGGAGCTCAACAAAACACATGTCTGGGTGTCCATTTTGTCTAGTGTTTGATTTGACGATATGATCCTCTAGACTGTAGCTCTTGATAAAATCGAACTCTTGCTCATATTCTTTCTTCTTGATCATCATGATCTGCTCGGCGTATTTGTTCTCCTCCCCAATACTCTTCAAATCTCCAAGTGTTTTGGTGAGATTGTGCCTCCCATGCCAGGTGTATCGGTTTTTGGCGAGGCGGCTCACCATGTGCAAACTCTCCAGGACATTCACAATGTCATAAATACGTCGACGTTCAACATCTGAAAAGAACGCAGAGTGTCTATTACTACTGCTCTATTCACTGCCGTCGAGTCAGAACAGACCCATTGGTGACCCTCCAGCGAGTTATCAGGGGCAGTAAATTGCACTGCAGGAGATTGCCCATCTTTCTACCACTGAGCGACGTGTCATGTTGTGTACCGTAGAGTCGGAACTGACCTACAGCTGAACCTCTGGTGGGTTTTCAGAGGCGGTTAATCGCATGAAAGGAAGATTACCCATCCTCCTTCTGGGAGATTTCCCATCTTTCTCCCGTGGAGCACCTGGTGGCCTCAAACCTTATGTCTTTGGGATTGCAGCGCAGCTTCTTGCCACTAGGCCACCAGAGCTCCCTACTGAGTAACTACTCGACTTAGCAATTCCTTCCTGATTGCGGGGACAAGTTCGTTTAAAGGAACACCAGCATGCACCTATCATGGGCTCTAGAAAGAACGAATGCAATAAAAAAGTTCACTAACAGGCCAGGCTGGGTCCAACTCACTGCAACTGCCATGTGATTTCCAAGGTTATAAATCTTTAAGGGAGGACACTGTCCATCGGTCTGCCAGGGAGCACCTACTAAATTCAAACCCCAACTTTTGGGAACAGTGGCCTAGCATGTAACCACTACACTACCATGGCTGCATAAAAAGTAAGGCTAAATGATTATAGACATGTGTTCTGACTCATCCACAAACTGCTGTTAAAGAGACAATTACGGAGAGGACTCAGTACAAAGGCAAAATCTTTCTGCATGGAGTCATTCTAATTACATACTAAAAGCCATTATTCTGCATATCTCTTGATTGACAGTTTTATATATAAATTTTCATGATTTCAAGGTTCTATCAAATTTGCCATGGAATGCTTCTTAGTTCTGTCCAGATTTACGTCTAAAATGTTATAAATGGATGAAATTAAACTAAGAGAGTAAGTACGATGAGCAGGTATGGCAAGAGGGGGAAGAAGGAGCTTTGGTGAAACAGCAAAGTTCACAGCAAACTCATAAGTCTTCAGAAAACTACCAAGTGGCCACGCCAAAACCAAGCCCAAGCCCACCGCTGTTGATTCCATCTCATGGTGACTACTACATGTTAGTCACTGAGTAGAACAGATCAGAAAAGCTAGACTTGAAGGACTTAGCGGTGAAACTCAGACTGCGGCCTTCTAGAACTATTGGCAACATCAGGATAAATGGAGGGAAAACTGTAGCTGTCAAGGATTTTTTTTATTCAGATCCACAATCACGTATCTATGGAGGCCGCAGTTAGAAGATATATTGCCTTGGGGAAATCTGTTGCCAAGGACCCCTTTATAGTCTTTAAGAACAAGGATGTCAGTTTAAAGACTAAGGTACACCTGCCCCAAGCCATGGCATTTTCAATGGTTTCATATGCCTGTGAAAGTTGGGCAATAAATAGGGAAGATCAAAGAAGAATCACCTTTGAATTACGGTGTTGTGAATAATATTGAATAAAACATGAGCTGCCAAAAGAACAAACAAATCTATCTTAGAAGAAGTACAGTCAGAATGTTCCTTGGAAGCCAGGATGGTGAGACTGATCTCATGAACTCTAGGCTTATTATCAAGAGGGGCCAGTACCTACAGAAGAATATCATGCACGGAAAAGCAGAGTCAGAGTAAGAGGAAGATTCTAAAGGAGATGGACTGACATAATGATTGCAACAATGGACTGGGCAGGGTTTTGTTGTATGTAGAAATGATATAAATCGAACCAAACCAATGGCATCTAACAATAGCAAATCTTTACGAAAGCATATTGTCAGGCTTTTTATGGTGCTTTTGGGTGAGTGTTACCAACCAACAGTCCACTTGGTAGTTAAGAACAAACCACTTGTGTGACCCAGGAAACTCTACTGAGTGACAGAGAGCTTCTACTCACAGAAGCTAATCCTGTGCTAATTGCAACCTGCTAATTGCAATCTACGGAGCTCTGGTGGCCTAGTGCTGAGAAACTGCACTGCTACCCTGAAGGCACACGGTTCAAATCTACCAGCTGCTCTGCGGGAGAAGGATGAACAAACTCCCCCTGTGTGATTAAAATGATGGTACACAACAATAACATCAACAATTGCAATCTACTCAGATGCCATTCCCAGCAAGACACTTCAGGAGAGGGCCAAGACACATTTCAGAATTGAAGCTGTCTGATACCAGTTATAAAACAATGTTGCTTTTAAAGCTTCTAAAATGAAGTCAGAAGAATCCTCAGTGTGATATTGTTTCTGTTTTAAGCATCATCGAAATTAGAAACAATATGCATTGTATGTTTAAATTAATAATGCTTATGGGATTTAAAAATATCTCCATACAGCCATAACTGCATCACTAACAAACACTTCTAAGCAGAGGAGGGTAGCTCAAGAGAAGTCAGTCCAGACAGTAGTTTTAGTTAACAACTATTACAAGTGAGTTCTCTGGGTACTTACTCAATTCCTCCGCTACTTCATCCAGACAGATGTCATTATTCACAGCAGGGTTGGGATAGTTGGGATATCGAGCTAAGAACTTGTGGCACAGCAATCCTAAACTTTTCTCTTTCCGACTTGGTTGGGATTTCTCAAATTCATCTCCAGATAAATGCTCCTAAAAAGAAAAAGGCAAAAGGGACTCATTCTGTAATGAAGTTGGAGAGACTTAACTAGGAGCATTAACATTCAGTGACTGACCCTTTTCCATGTGTGTGGCCTCAACAGGTGCAACGTTTGGAACAAGAAAAGGTGGTGGAAGCTGGTACCCACTGCTTGGCAGCTCGGCAAGGGAAGTTTGACGTAAAAATAATACCAAGGTTCAGAATTCTGAATGCCATAATTCTACGGGGTCCACATCTTTCCATTATGCTGAGGGAAGCTAATGGCCTGGCAGGCGGAGATGCTTTATACCCATAACTGTTCTATAATAGCAGGAGAGGATAAAATAGATGAATGGGATCTTCTAAGAATAAAATCCCTGTGCACATCCAAAGACTTCTCCAACAGGGTAAAAAGGGAAGCCAAAGACTGGGAAAAAATATTTGTAATGACATGTCAGATAAGGAACTTATATCTAGAATATATAAAATACTTGAGCACCACAACAAGCTAAACAACCCAATTGAAAAATGGGCACAGGATATGAACAGACACTTCACCAAAGAAGACATTAAGATTGCCAACAAACACATGAAGAATGTTCAAAATCCCTAGGCCTAAGAGAGATGCAAATCAAAACAACTATATCATCTTACCCCAGTAAGAATAGCAAAATTTAACAGAACAGCAAACAACAAATGCTGGCGAGGTTGTGGAGAAACTAGAACTCTTATTCACTACTGGTGGGAGTGTAAAATGGTACAACCACTATGGGAAGCTGTATGTTGCTTTCTCAAAAAGTTGTAAGTAGAAATACCTTTAGACCCAGCAGTTCCACTACTGGGAATATACCCTAAAGAAATCCGAACTGCCACCCAAGTAGATATATGCACACCCATGTTTATTGCAGCTTTGTTCACAATAGCAAAGAGTTGGAAACAACTCTAGTGTCCATCAACAAACGAATGGCTAGAGAAGCTGTGGTATATTCACACAATGAAATACTATGCTGCATTAAAAAACAAGGAATTCATGAATACAAAATGGGTGACCCTGGAGGATGTTATGCTGAGTGAAATACCTCAGTCACAAAAGGACAAATACTGCATAATGCCACTGTTGTAAAGCGGGACTGACATCGAGGCAGGGGAGAAACTAAGAAAAAAGAGAGGATAAATAATGTATACTACATTGAAACAGATGAGGGAGAGAACTATTTAGGACGAATATATGATTAGGTATTTTTGTCATGACAAGAGTCCAGAATGAAAGCTGCATAGTGGAGTGCAGGGGTGGGGAGGAATTGTATAACTATGAAAGAATTTTTTCTTACTTTTCAAAGAGAAAAGTGAACTGGTGAAAGGTGGCCCAGGAGGAAAGTGTACAAGAATGAATGAATGGAAATCCAAAGTGTCTGTTGTAATGAAAGTTCACAACTTTCATTAAAATTAATAATAAGCAATTGCCACCAGCCAGGCCCTCATTCCTCAGAACCCTCCACCAGAGACACAGAAGGGTAAAGCTCAGAAGGCTGCAAAGCAGAGGTGAAAGGAAGAGGGACTCAAGATCATGAATACTCGAGTCAACAAGGAAATGGCACATTTTTCTGCCGCAGAGCTCTCAAGTCTGGTTAGCAGCCCCACTGCATTACCAGGGCTCCTTAGGTCCACCCAGATCTTCTGAAAACCTACATGTAAACAGTCTTTGACCTCAGGCAGTCCACTTCTGTTGTCAAATAGCCCCCTCTTCTGATCTCTGCTGCGGATCTCAGGGCTCACAGCACTGATGAGCATCTTCAGGTTGGCAGTGGGTGTCCACGGTTCACCCTCGGAGATTTCCTTGGCTTTGGTGGGCGTCGTTAAAGGGCCAAAGTTGGGCTGAATCTCGACCAATCCTATATTTGGGGTCGTGGACTCTTCCAGGGGTGTTTTCAACAGTACCTTTTTATGTGGCTCAAAAAAGAGGTTTTCCTAATTAAAAAAAAAATAATAATTAGGCAGTTATTTAAAAACAAGATTTATCAGAGGTGTTTTGCTCCTTTGAAAATGTATGATAGAGAAAATATTAAACTCTAAATCAAAATCTTAAAATAGAATATTGGTCTAGGAAAAATGCCCAGTGAGGCTGTCTTGCTCATGAAATGAATAACCATGTTCAAGAGGTTAATTGATACATCATTCACTTTTTTGTTTTAAAAAACGAACTAATAACTTATAATTTGTTTCTTAAAAAAAATTACAATTTAAAAAAGACTTGCAAAAGTAATAAATGTTGGAGAGGATGTGGCTAAATAGGGACACTTTTACATTGTTGGTAAGATTGTACAATGGTACAACCACTCTGGAAAGCAGTGTGGTACTTCCTCAAAAATCTGAACATAGAAATTCCATATGATCCAGCTGTTCCATTGCTTAGAATATACCCCAAGAAAATAAGAACTGAAGCTCAAACGGAAACTTGTACACCAATGTTCATAGCAGCATTATTTACCATCGCAAGAACATGGAAACAGCCCAGATGTCCAACCACAAATGAATAGATTGAAAAGTTGTATATTCATACAATGGAATACCAAGCAGCATGCAAAAACAATGATTTTGTAAATTACTATTTAACTTGGGAGGGACTGGAGAGCATTATGCTGAGTGAACTAACTCAGTCCCACAAGGACAAATACTGTATAAAACCATTACTGTATAATGAGTATGAGGATCCAAGGTGGGAGGGAAATAGAGGGGAGAGGATGGGGTAAGGTTGCACAATACCGTGGATGGTTGGGGTGAACGAAATGGGAGGGATCTCTTGTGAAAAACAGTGTATTCAAACTTTGTAAATAAATCAGTATAAAATTTAAAAGAAGTTGCAAATATAGTATAGACAGTTCCTTTCATTAAACTTCACCTATTATGACTTATAACATTAAGGGATTCAAACTCCTAAAGAGCTTCTACTCAAGATCCTGTAATAAGTATCAGCCTCCAGGGCAGAAACCATGTCTCAGTAATCTGTTTACAGCCACGTATAATGACTGCATGCAGTAGGTATTTAATAAATTACCAAAGCTGTGGAAGAGGCAGAGAGTCAAGGAGAAAAGCATGATGCTAGCTTCTCCTTTGACTTGTCAGAAAAATCCAGTAGGGAGCAGCAGAGTGCCTGAGAACTGGACTTCTGACCAGAAGTCTGTTCTTGGAATAGCCAAGTTCCCAAAGCTGGTCCTCTGAGGTGTGGCACTGCCACTCTGCCTAAAACCAGAAACATTAACAGCAGCTCATAGTAAGATTAAGGTGCAGTTCTACTCTATCCTAGGGGATTGCTATGAATTGGAATTGAATTAACAGCTGTGGGTTATGTTTCTTCCACTCTTGGGTATCAGAGACTTCATACATTCTCATCTGTATCAATTTTTTTAAAAAAATGCTTCAGATGGCCATAAGTGAAAGAATGAAGAGATCGATTAATTTCTCAGTAACATTAGGAACATGGTTTAATGGTATTTGTTTATGTGTCCTTTAGGATTGATCAAGTGCTTCTCCATTTCATCAAATTTAATATTCCCATTTTGATGAAGAAACCAAAGATGAAAGAGACTGCATAAATCTTGAAATGAGATTTTCTCATTCCACCTGTGACATCCACGTAGAAGTTTGTATGATGAATTCAATGAAGGATACTTGGTAATTGACCAAAAAAGAATTTCCCCCCCCCCAAAGGGAAAAGTTATTTCCCCTCCTTTTTGCCTGAAACTATCAGGAGAAATATTACAATTGTCTTAATTAATAATTAAGACTTTCAAATATCCTTTTTGAATTCCTAAAGTTTAAGATTTCTCAGAAATGCAACAAAAACATTTTGCTTTCCTAAGAAAGGTCTACTCAGTTTGTTCATAGATTTTACTATCTCATTGCCTTTCCTCTCTGCTTATCTCTGAGACTTCCACCAAACCATTAAAAACTAGAAGGATTACTTTAATCTGGGCAAACCTCCCCTTTTTCAAAATGTAAATTTCCCTTTCTTCTGAGTTTTAACAAAAATTAACTCAAAAGATGTTGGTCTTAGATACTGGTAAAGTATTAGAAAAAATAGTTAAATTAGGATGATACTGCATTTCAAATTGCAAAGTGATTATTAAAGAGTACCTTTTCATCCTCCATTCTGTAAATTTCTCACACATTTAGTTTCTTTAAAAACGAAGAATCTGGAGTTCCTCCCAATATCCAATGGTTCAAGAAGTTCAATCGATTCTACCAACCACTCTAAAATCCTGAAATGAAAAAAGTTTAGGAGAAAATAAGAACCAAGAGACCTTGTTAACAACCCATTCACTGGAACTATTGGTCATAGATACTAAGACTAAGGAAAAATTACAAACTAGATTACATTTTATTCCCGTCCAGAGACAAGAGTCTCTCTCCCCGGGCAGTAAAACGCTGCAGCCAATCTGTATCTCATTTTGCAGAACCAATTCAATGCCATGAGGCTTCAAGTAAGTCACGTAATTTCCAGTGACAACCCTCTCCTCTCTTTAGAGAAGCCAGGCCAAGTTCCGAATTCAACAGACCCAAGAGATCGTCGCAAACACTTACCTGTCCACAGAGACTCAGCGCCACAGTCCTGGTTCAGACTGAAAAGCGTGACCTGAGTTATGTAGATACAATTCTGCATGCAGACTGCCGGATCTCCTCCCAACCCCGTATATACACGTGCATAGGTCCAACAGTATAGTCTTGTAAAGCAGATAACGAAATTTCCAAATACACTCTCTAAATGCCAAACGTATTGCCTGGCATTTAAAGAGCGCTCTATGATTAAGATTTTTTTTCCTTAATAAAAGGATTTCCTCAAAGATTCAAAGTGCTGCGTCCTCTTTATACAGATGGCTGTTTCGCCGCGTTTTCACTAGGCAAGCTGCATTTGCTCAGAAAAGTCACCAGGCTAGTTGCCTTGCCGCGGCGGGCTCGAGTCCCGCGCACTCTTCCCTCCGCTAGGCCAACAGCCCCTCCTCCTCCCCCATCCTCCCGCCACTAGCCTGGCAGTTCCCGGACAGCATCTTCGCGGTTTCCAGGGCAACCACTCTTGGCCAATCACAGAGGATGATGCGCGCCAGCGATTGGTTGGCAGTGCCAGGGGCGGGCCCGGACCTTCCGCCTTCGATTTAAAAATTTGGCGCGGAAAAGTCAGACCCTGGTCGGCACCGCCCCTTCGCAGCGCGGGGGCTGGAGCGCGGGCAAACCCGCGCCCGGAACCGTGGCGCCAGCCCCTCCCCCTTGCTCGCCCCCGCCCCTCCGCGCGGGACCCCGGCTCCTCCCTCCGTGGACCCCGGCGGAGCGGGAGGCGGGAAACGGCTGCCGATCCGCGCGTCCCAGCCAGCACCCGGCGCCGGGCCTCCAGGGCGCGCCAGTCCTGTGCGCCCCACCGACCTGTCAGGTCACCTTTCGACTGGGGCGGGTGGCGCTGAGCGGGGACTCCTCGGCGCCCCTTTCCCGCTCCGGTCTGAGAGCCCTCGTGTCGGGCCGTCAGTCTGTCCTTCAGCCGCGCCGAGGTGGTTGCCCGAGGGGACGGCCGGGACCCGGACTTGGCGGGCTAGCGGGCTGGCACAGGGAAAGCGACCGTGCCCGGAGCAGTCAAGTCCCGGATTTGAAATTAACCCGCTCCCGGCGCGAGCTGATCCCGCGGGCAGGGAGGGCCGCTCCCCTCCCCCGCGCCCGCCGTCTGGTCCCGGGCCCCGCGCGCCAATCCTAGCCTCCCGCCACGAGCCGCCCGCGAATGGGGTGCAGGCGCCGCCCTCCCGTCCCGCCTCCACGGCAGAGTTGTTGGGGGGAAAGTTCAAGAACTTTTTTTTCTTTGCAAACACTCCCCCCTTCCCCTTACTCAAAGTTGGGGAAATGCATTCAGTCGGTTCTAGGCTGGGACGCAGCGCGCTGGCGTTCCGCAGCCGACCCCTCGTACCCAGCCTGAGATCCGCTTACCTGCCACGAGGGCTCCAGCCGAGACTGCCCCTGTAGCATCCTTGGCACACATGATCTCGCTGCCTGCCGTCTCACCCTGGACTTCTAGAAATCCGTGGCAGGAGAAGCTTGCTCAATGAGTGCCAAACTCGATGCGCGCGAGCCGTGAGAACTCAGGTGTGGGAGGAGTAAAGTTGAAAGCCCGCCAAGCTAGCACCCTGCGGCGCCCGCAGGCTCCCCTCTCTCGTCTCCCACCCGCTCCTTCCTCTCCCCTTCCTGTTGTCTTCCCTCGCTTTTCCCTCTTTTTCCGGCCTGCAAGTCTTGGGAGGCTTAAGCTGGCATATTATATGGAGCCCTAGAATAGCAGCAGGGTTAGGAGACCCTCTAGTCTAAACACTTCATTTTGCTTATAGGAACAACTGAGGCCAGTGCGTGGATTGGTTTGCACACTAGTCCCCTTTCAGTATTTCCCCTTTTCTGGGGGCCGATGCTGGCGTTGTGTGGCCGCATGTGTTGGTTGCTCAACCGTGCCTAGATCTGGGCGCCCATCTAGCAACTGTTTGGCGTAGGCTCTTGTTTAATTTTCATATCTAAGATTGAAGCTTCCGCAAGATCCCGGGCAGCGTTCGCCCAGCTTTACTACCGCTTATGTGTCAATGAATCATCCATTGCCGTCTCCCAGCGCGGGATAGTCTTACGTTTTCCCGGACATGAGAAAGGGTGGGGATATTGAGGTCGGGATCGCCATGCTGCAGCCGCAGAGGCGGTCGGGGGTCCTGGCGGCCAGCAGTGGCTCATCGCCGCACGGAAGGCGGTTAATGCCGTGTTTGACCCTGTCTGCCTAGATTCCAGCCAGGGCATACGACCGACCCATCTTCAGGCGAGTGTTGCTCAGGCTCCAACTTGAAACCGACCCTTGGGCGTCGTGATCTGCGCAGCTAAGTTACCGCCTGCAGCTCTCAATATTAAAACCGGAGCAACTGGATGCACTGCCAAGAGTACTGAGCAGTGGAGAAAGGTGGGGTTATAAATACATTGACAAAATCTGAGTACTCTTCAGCGTTAACCTCAGTGTTTTCCAGATCGCTCTTTTTCTCTTTCTCTTCGTTGTTTATAGGAATAAGCAGATTCAGTCCTGTTCTATCTGACATCAGATTTACAGCACCAGTTGTTGTTAGGTGCCCTGGAGAGCAGTACGACTCATAGCGACCCTATGAACAACAGATCTGAGCCCTGTCCTATCCTGTGCCATCCTCAATCTTTGGTACACGCGAGCCCATTGCCTCAGTCTCTGTGTCAATCCTCTTGGTCAAGGATCTTCCTCTCTTTTGCCGTATTTCCACCTTCCCAAGCATGGTGTCCTCCTCCAATGAATAGCCTCTCCTAGCAACATGCTCAAAGAATGAGAGACAAAGTTTAATCATGTTTGCCTCCAAGGAGCAGAGACTCTGGCTGTGCTTTCTCCAAGACAAACCAGTTTGTTCTTTTGGCAGTCCATGGGGTGTTCAGTACTGCTCTCCAGCACCACAGTTCAAAAGCGTCACTCCTTCTGTCATTCACTGCCCAACTCTCAGCAGCAGAGCAAGCATAGAATACAGCCTCAGAGTCCTCTGTAAAGGCACTCTTCGGAAGTGGCTCATCTGAAGTGCCTGTCTGCAGAGGCAGCAGTGGTTGCCTTCACATGTGTTGGTGCACAGGGCCATTCATGCTGCAGATAGTGTGTGGGGAGTACCGTGTTTCTGGGAAGTACTACCTCAGGTGACACTTCACAAACAACTCTTCATGTAATACTCAGCACAGATGGTAACCACGGCTTGTGGCACAGGAGAGTGAAGCACAATGCTTTTACATAACACATTTAAGGTCACACCATAACAGAGCTGAAATTTGAAGCCAAACCTGACTCAAGGGCTTCTTATAGAAAGCCATGTTCTCCACTGCCCTGGAAGACCACCCAACTCTCTTCATCATTTTCTAGAGGATTGAAGAGCACAACAGTTTAAGTAATGATCAATGAATTAATTCTAGCTGCAGAATCATTTCTTCCTGCTCCCAATTCAAGCATCACAGCCCCACTACCTCTGAAAGGTCCTGTGACTGCAAAGTTAATAATGTCTTAGACCACTTAGCCTCTCCCTCACCTCGCCAAGAGCGAAAAATGAAACAAACAGAAAAACTCGAGGAAAGATGGGATAGGTGTTGCTAATTCTAATGACATTGTTATGTACTGGCTTCATCTCCCTGAATATGATGAAAGGTGATCTCAGTAGCTGTGAGATTATAGAACTGAATCTTAAATCTTCGTGTCCTATTCATGTAAAGGTAATGCAAAAGAAAGCAAGCTGAAACAATTCAATTGTGTCCATTTGCAGTACAGCATGAATGTGAAGGAAAGAAGTACCCCCCTGCAAGTCTATCTCTACTTATGGGGAATTTATAGGACAGAATATAACTGTCCCATGGAGTTTCTAAGGTTGTAATTTTTACGTAAGACTGTTGAAAGATTTTATGTTTACCGCACTGCCAAGAAGACAGATTCAGGGGGACAAGTTTGAACCCTTTACACCGCCACCACCCCAGCAAATATATTGTTACTTATTATGTGACTAAGGGAATACTCATGCATTTGTTTCTTTCCTTCCCCCCCGCCCCAACATGTATGAATTATGTCTCACTGGAGTTGGACTCGTTTTTCAAGTCTATGCTGCCATTCACTTGGGTTGCATGGGCTGGAAGGCTAAGCTAGTTGTATAACATGCTCAGCACCAAATAAGGTGTCATGAAAAAGAAGATATCAAAAATAAAGGGGGAAGATAGACATGATCTGAGGTGCTTAGATACAAAGGTAACGGTTAGATTACAGAATCCTGCCCCTTTCTGTCATAGCCATTTTTACCCTGTGGCTGTGAAAAGAGCAGTTCCTTCCCTTCTCCGCTGACCAGGGCAGGAGGGAGGAGAGTTGTTTTAATTATCGTATTCTTGGCCTTTTCATCTTGCAGTGCTCTCTTCTCTACCCTACCCTGACCCGACCAGACACTTCCATCACCAGCTCTACTTCCTAACACGGTCCAACGATGTGGGTTGTGCTCTTCCGGCAGCACAAAGCAGCTGTGTCACTTTCTAGTGTTCACATCTCCGAGGGCTGTCTGTGCTGCCTGCAGCTGCTCACAGCGAAATCTCAGCCTTCACTGGTTCCTTTGATTAGTTGGTTTCTCTGCCAGCAGGCAAATCTCCACCCAGCCAGTTGCTATGGAGTAGATTCTGACTCATAGAAACCCAACAGGACAGAGTAGAACGACTCCATTGGGTTTTCAAG